TACCTGTGTACCTGGTGGTAGTACTGCAGTACCCTGTGTACCTGGTGGTAGTACTGCAGTACCCTGTGTACCTGGTGGTAGTACTGCAGTACCCTGTGTACCTGGTGGTAGTACTGCAGTACCCTGTGTACCTGTGTACCTGGTGGTAGTACTGCAGTACCCTGTGTACCTGTGTACCTGGTGGTAGTACTGCAGTACCCTGTGTACCTGTGTACCTGGTGGTAGTACTGCAGTACCCTGTGTACCTGGTGGTGGTAGTACTGCAGTACCCTGTGTACCTAGTGGTAGTACTGCAGTACCCTGTGTACCTGGTGGTAGTACTGCAGTACCCTGTGTACCTGTGTACCTGGTGGTAGTACTGCAGTACCCTGTGTACCTGGTGGTAGTACTGCAGTACCCTGTGTACCTGGTGGTAGTACTGAAGTACCCTGTGTACCTGGTGGTAGTACTGCAGTACCCTGTGTACCTGGTGGTAGTACTGCAGTACCCTGTGTACCTGGTGGTAGTACTGCAGTACCCTGTGTACCTGGTGGTAGTACTGCAGTACCCTGTGTACCTGGTGGTAGTACTGCAGTACCCTGTGTACCTGTGTACCTGGTGGTAGTACTGCAGTACCCTGTGTACCTGTGTACCTGGTGGTAGTACTGCAGTACCCTGTGTACCTGTGTACCTGGTGGTAGTACTGCAGTACCCTGTGTACCTGGTGGTGGTAGTACTGCAGTACCCTGTGTACCTAGTGGTAGTACTGCAGTACCCTGTGTACCTGGTGGTAGTACTGCAGTACCCTATCCATGTGATTTTTAGTGGGGGTCGACCTCAAATCCTCTAGGGGGGTCCAGGGGCATGCCCCCCCGGTAAGATTTTATTTTTGATTTTGGAGTTAAATGCATCAATCTGGTGCATTTTGAGGGGGAAATAAAGAGATCTATGGAAACACCTATATTAAACAGAACTGTATACATTTCAATAATCATAAAGTCATGGCCATAAACAACAACATACCATTTCCAATATGAAAAAAACACTGAAACTTGTTCATTTATTTTTGGTTCATTTATAGTTGGGAGTGTGTCTGTGCTCCTGAATCAGCCTCTCCTGTCTCCCTCCTCTCCCCCCTGCTCCTCTTTGAGGCAGCAGCAAAGACTAGTTTTCTCTCAACAAGTTTTAAAAGTGTATTTTACCTTTTTTCACCTAGTTAACTTTTTATTTATTTATTCATGCGTATTTTACTAATCACATTACATTTCATTTAGCTGACGCTTTTATCCAAAGCGACTTATAATGACCGATTACAGGGACATTCTCCCTGGAGTAACTAAGGGCTAAGTACCTTACTCAAGGGCACACTAGTGGTGGTGTTCCTGGCGGGATTTGAACTCACAGCCTTCCGATCTTCAGCCCACCTCACTATCCATTAGACCAGGGGTGGGGAACCTCCGGCCCCCGGGCCGTATACGGCCCGCGAGACCATTTGGTGTGGCCCTCGAGGTAATTTATAAACACACGCAACATTTTTTTTAAAGAAATCTAGACCGCAAAATAATTAAACAAGTGAGTGCCTGTTTTTCCTGGCCAAGGTCAGGGTCCTTGAACACAACACAAGCCTAACGTGTCATCACGTGGTATATGTCTCGTCTGACAGGGGTGCAGTTCTGACGGAGAGCACCAGAACGCATGCTCCGCTCCGGCACTTCCAAAAATTGCAGTACCCATAAGGAGCCGTACACATGCTGCAGTTTCTGCGTGGCTGTGTCTTTAGTTGAAAGCCCAGTGGCGATCTGTGTTATTAGCATCTGGTTAGCTAGCTATGCTAACGAATATAAGAAGCTTTTTCTACAACCAGAGAGGTAAAGGCACGTCTTTATATGATCATTATAGTTATAAAAAAATAAGAGAATAAAGTAAACAGGTATAAAATACTATATGACAGTAAAAAAAAGTTGTTATTAATAAACAAGAATACAGTTTGAAAGGAGAGTGATTTGTAAAATATCCATAAAGAAAAATAAATCTGCTTACAGTTCTGTTTCATCTGGGTGTTGAGAGATGTATCCATAGATCTCCTAATTTTGCTCTCAAAGTGCACCAGATTGATGCTTTTCACTTCAACATTTAAAAAAACAAATCTTCCCGGGGAAGCATGGCCCCCGGACCCCCCTAGAGGAGGTTAGGTCCCCCCTAGAGGAGGTTAGGTCCGCCCTAGAGGAGGTTAGGACCCCCCTAGAGGAGGTTAGGTCCCCCCCACTTAAATCATGTTCACAGGAGTCTAAATACATTTGCACACATCTTGTGTCCATATCTTTCTGTTTTGGTGGTCATGCCACACCGTGCACGTGCATGCATGAGTCATGGTGAGATATCTGGATTAAGAGGTTGCTTTTTCTTTGCACAGCATGAAAGAAAGGTGAAATGAGTGGGCTGTGATTTTAGTATTTTTAAGCAGAGGTCAATAATTTGTACGACCCTCGGAGGATGTTGAAAACATTGAAATGGCCCTTGAGAGGAAAAAGGTTCCCCACCCCTGCATTAGACCATGGGTCGGCAACAGGCGGCCCGCGGGCCATTGTTGGCCAGCCAGCAATAATATTTGGCCCGTAATTTTGAGAATCAAAAATAAAATATTATTTTGAGATTTTTTTTTTTTTTTTTTTACAACATAGGACCTACAGTCGCACATCAGGGTTTCCGTTAGCCGCCGATTGATCGGCCGCCGGTCATTATCGGCCGATATTCACTGTTAATAGTTTTATCGGTGCTCTCTATAAAGGCCGATCAGGAGAGCTGGATCTGATCGATATGGACATAAACGCGAGTGAAGTATAACCGGACCCGAGAGAGAGATCAGATCAGCTGCTGAGTCTGACGGAGACACGCTGCTCTGCATGATCACCTGAAGCCCCGCCCACTGTTTAGCGAGCTGGATGAGAAACTGACGGGCTGTCAGAGAGAGAGAGGGAGGGAGAGGGGAAAAGAGAGCATCCGTTTCTCCCGTGTTATTATTCAAAGTTATAAAGCTACAAGTAGTTTGTTTGAATGTAATAATGATGTTTTTTGTTGTTTGTGGAATCATTTATTGAAAAATGAATCTGAACTTTTCGATCTGTAACGATTATAAACGGAAGCAATATAAAAATGACTCATTAACTGAGTTTTAAACATCAGCATATCCGGCCCTAGTCCAGTGATTACCTGCTAACGGAAACTGCTACACCATTCTTATTATTATTATTGAAACATGACCGGTGAGTTTCAAATTTGTCCGGTAAAATAAATTCTGTCCCGACATATCGCTTACATTCATAATGTCAGCGGAGGGAGGGGAAGCGGCGCTGTGGAAGAGCAGAGTGGCGAGTGAGAGCTGTCATCTTCCCTTTACAAGCTTCAAACATGTATTTATCGTGTGATTTTGGAAATAAAAATGTCATATTCTGAAAGCCAAGACTTTGTTTATTTAAAATCAAACAAAACACCCGAACCCCGAAAAACTAGTTTTTTAAGCAAATCCACGTTTATTTTGAAATGAGCCGTTGCGACTTTCGACTGATTTCGATAGAGCGGGTCACATATGGCAAATGTGTGGTTGTGGGGAACCAGGTAAATTAAAGTACTTATTGAACTATTAAATACATTGAGTTTGAGTAAAATACTTGGTTACTGATTAATTTAGGTTATAATATATTAAATTGCAAGCAAAACTGCTGTAATTGATTTATTTTGTCCTTTGGTATTTTTTAAAGGTTTTCAACCTGAAAGAATCCTAATGTGTCCTTGAAAAGTTGAAATAAAGAAAAGGAACAAGGATTCCAGTTGAGTTGCCCCTCAAACTTCTCAAATGGGCAAACACTCGAATAAATGCCAAAAACCCAGAGAACTTGACAATACTTATCAGAATAAAAGTATGTTAAATAACACTGCTACCTGTTAATAACTCTACTTTACTCAGTGGAGGCTCGTCCATTGAGGAAAGGGAGGACCATCCTCCCTAAAATTTCAGAGAAAAATAAACTTTGAAGAGAACAATAAATAGGCTACACCTCTGTCTGTTAAAATACAGATAATAGCCCTGGCTTTTAACATGGGACTGAAATGGGGCTAGAGAGGACGAGCCTCCCTTTGGGCGGGTCTAGCCAGAGGCTCTGGATTGGGCGCCTATATCATCAGTGAACCAATCAGCGGATCTGACTGCGCATCAGAGTGTTGATGGGAAGGGTTATCAGCGATAGTTTTTTCTGAACCGGGGAACAGGGGCGCTGCGCCCTCTTACCAAAATCAATTCCTTGAATTAGGCTTTGATTATGTTCTGGCCCGCCATCTTGCGGCTCAGCAAAAAATTGGCCCAAGGCCAAACTTACTTGCCTACCCCTGCATTAGACCAATCACTACCCTCTCAAATGGAAATATGTGTTTACATAAATGGTGACCACACCGTTTGAGACCTACTGAGAACTTAGACTAAGTGAACTATCTAAACACTCAGAGTCCTTTACCTCACCTGAGCTGAGGTTATCCCGAGCTTGAATGACACACAGAGACCAATCAAGGGCTTTGATTTATGATCTGTATGACAGTGGCCATGTCGGCAGGCCACATCATGTAGACAGCCAGTCACCCTGTGAGGCAGGCCACTTAAAAGGCCAGAAGGAGGCGAGATCAGAGCAAGGGAGCGAGGGATCATTGTCCACAAGTTAATCGATCGCAGATGGCGTCGTGGTCACGAACGAATAAACAAATAAATTATAAAAAATAAATAAATAAATAAAAAACCTAAATGGGTCGCGAAATATACTTGGGCGGCCGTTAATATACCTGGGCGGCCCGCCCAAGTATACTCTATGTGTGGGAAACCCTGTAGTACTGCAGTACCCTGTGTACCTGGTGGTAGTACTGCAGTACCCTGTGTACCTGGTGGTAGTACTGCAGTACCCTGTGTACCTGGTGGTAGTACTGCAGTACCCTGTGTACCTGGTGGTAGTACTGCAGTACCCTGTGTACCTGTGTACCTTGTTGTAGTACTGCAGGCGGGGGTGGGCGTCCTCCTCCTCGCCGCCCGTGAGTCTCAACAGGAAGTCCTCCTTCTCCACCTCTGTGGCTGCTTCCTGGAAGCATTGCAGCGCCTGCACACAGAGGACACGTTTTATTCATCTGCAGATCATTGTCTCTAAACATCTCCCGATCTCTCAAAACGCCCCGAACAACGTCTCTAAACGTCTCTGTCTCTAAACGTTCCCGTCTCTAAACATCCTTAGGTGACTCACCTTCTGCCCCTCCCCGTTGGCCAGGTAACACTGACCCAGCACGAAGCGACATGAGCCGATGTTCACCTGACACCACGGACCAATCAGACGGACGTACTCCTGCAGACAGGGGACAAAGGTGAGGTCAGTGTTTAAATAAAAATAGTAATAATATTAACAATAATAATGATGATGATAATACAAATACTAAACCCACCTGCAGCTGTGTGTACTGACAGTTGGCCATCAGACACTCTGGGAACTGGAAACCAGGGTTACTGGGCCAACTGAGAGACAGCCGTTAAGATTCAACAACAAACAAAAAGTGATCCAGTGAATATTATATTAAATACGTCACATGAATATAAAGGGAGTTGATAAAGGATACAGCAGCTGAGCGAGCAGGACGACCACGTTGGAGATCATGTGACTCCAGACGAGCATGGAGCTGCTCTGCTGCTGCGAGTAAATCTGGGAGACGATTATCTTCCTGCCGACCGTCTGGTAGAAGAGCTCCACCACCGTCTGAGGGCTCAGAACTGGGCAGAGAAGGCAATGTCATTACCTCATACACACACTACAACACGTCAGGCACTGTCATTACCTCATACACTACAACACGTCAGGCACTGTCATTACCTCATACAGACACACTACAACACGTCAGGCACTGTCATTACCTCATACTGACACACTACAACACGTCAGGCACTGTCATTACCTCATACAGACACACTACAACACGTCAGGCACTGTCATTACCTCATACAGACACACTACAACACGTCAGGCACTGTCATTACCTCATACTGACACAACAACACGTCAGGCACTGTCATTACCTCATACTGACACTACAACACATCAGGCACTGTCATTACCTCATACGGACACACTACAACACATCAGGCACTGTCATTACCTCATACACACACACTACAACACGTCAGGCACTGTCATTACCTCATACAGACACACTACACTCACAATCTCGCTACACCGCACCGGGCACCGTAGTTACCTCATACTCTCGCACCGGGCACCGTCGTTACCTCATACTCTCGCTACAACGCACCGGGCACCGTCGTTACCTCATACTCTCGCAACAACGCACCGGGCACCGTCGTTACCTCACACTCTCGCTAACGCACCGGGCACCGTCGTTGCCTCACAATCTCGCTACAACGCACCGGGCACCGTAGTTACCTCATACTCTCGCAACAACGCACCGGGCACCGTCGTTACCTCATACTCTCGCTACAACGCACCGGGCACCGTCGTTACCTCATACTCTCGCAACAACGCACCGGGCACCGTCGTTACCTCATACTCTCGCAAAAACGCACCGGGCACCGTCGTTGCCTCACACTCTCGCTACAACGCACCGGGCACCGTCGTTGCCTCACACCCTCGCTACAACGCGCCGGGCACCATCGTTGCCTCACACTCACGCTACAACGCACTGGGCACCATCGTTACCTCACACTCTCGCTACAACGCACCATCGTTGCCTCACACTCTCGCTACAACGCACCGGGCACCGCCGTTACCTCACACTCACGCTACAACGCACTGGGCACCATCGTTACCTCATACTCTCGCTACAATGCACCATCGTTGCCTCACACTCTCGCTACAACGCACCGGGCACCGCCGTTACCTCACACTCACGCTACAACGCACCGCCGTTGCCTCACACTCTCGCTACAACGCACTGGGCGCCATCGTTACCTCATACTCCCGTTACAACGCACCATCGTTGCTACAACGCACCGGGCACCGCCGTTACCTCACACTCTCGCTACAACGCACCACCTTTGCCTCACACTCTCGCTACAACGCACCACCGTTGCCTCACACTCTCGCTACAACGCCCCGGGCACCGTCGTTACCTCATACTCTCGCTACACCGCACCGGGCACCGTCGTTACCTCATACTCTCGCTACAATGCACCGGGCACTGTCGTTACCTCATACTCTCACAACAACGCACCGGGCACCGTCGTACCTCACACTCTCGCAACAACGCACCGGGCACCGTCGTTACCTCACACTCTCGCAACAACGCACCGTCGTTGCCTCACACTCTCGCTACAACGCACCGGGCACCGTCGTTACCTCACACTCTCGCTATAACGCACCGGGCACCGTCGTTACCTCACACTCTCGCTACAACGCACCGGGCACCGTCGTTACCTCATACTCTCGCAACAACGCACCGGGCACCGCCGTTACCTCACACTCTCGCTACAACGCACCGGGCACCGTCGTTACCTCACACTCTCGCAAACAACGCACCGGGCACCGTCGTTACCTCACACTCTCGCTACAACGCACCGGGCACCGTCGTTAACTCACACTCTCGCTACAACGCACCGGGCACCGTCGTTGCCTCACACCCTCGCTACAACGCGCCGGGCACCATCGTTGCCTCACACTCACGCTACAACGCACTGGGCACCATCGTTACCTCACACTCTCGCTACAACGCACCGGGCACCGCCGTTACCTCACACTCACGCTACAACGCGCCGGGCACCATCGTTGCCTCACACTCACGCTACAACGCACCGGGCACCATCGTTACCTCATACTCTCGCTACAATGCACCATCGTTGCCTCACACTCTCGCTACAACGCACCGGGCACCGCCGTTACCTCACACTCACGCTACAACGCACCGCCGTTGCCTCACACTCTCGCTACAACGCACTGGGCGCCATCGTTACCTCATACTCCCGTTACAACGCACCATCGTTGCCTCACACTCTCGCTACAACGCACCGGGCACCGCCGTTACCTCACACTCTCGCTACAACGCACCACCGTTGCCTCACACTCTCGCAACAACGCACCGGGCACCGTCGTTACCTCACACTCTCGCAACAACGCACCGTCGTTGCCTCACACTCTCGCTACAACGCACCGGGCACCGTCGTTACCTCACACTCTCGCTATAACGCACCGGGCACCGTCGTTACCTCACACTCTCGCTACAACGCACCGGGCACCGTCGTTACCTCATACTCTCGCAACAACGCACCGGGCACCGTCGTTACCTCACACTCTCGCTACAACGCACCGGGCACCGTCGTTACCTCACACTCTCGCAACAACGCACCGGGCACCGTCGTTACCTCACACTCTCGCTACAACGCACCGGGCACCGTCGTTACCTCACACTCTCGCTACAACGCACCGGGCACCGTCGTTGCCTCACACTCTCGCTACAACGCGCCGGGCACCATCGTTGCCTCACACTCACGCTACAACGCACTGGGCACCATCGTTACCTCACACTCTCGCTACAACGCACCGGGCACCGCCGTTACCTCACACTCACGCTACAACGCGCCGGGCACCATCGTTGCCTCACACTCACGCTACAACGCACCGGGCACCATCGTTACCTCATACTCTCGCTACAATGCACCATCGTTGCCTCACACTCTCGCTACAACGCACCGGGCACCGCCGTTACCTCATACTCACGCTACAACGCACCGCCGTTGCCTCACACTCTCGCTACAACGCACTGGGCGCCATCGTTACCTCATACTCCCGTTACAACGCACCATCGTTGCCTCACACTCTCGCTACAACGCACCGGGCACCGCCGTTACCTCACACTCTCGCTACAACGCACCACCGTTGCCTCACACTCTCGCTACAACGCGCCGGGCACCGTCGTTGCCTCATACTCTCGCTACAACGCGCCGGGCACCGTTGTTGCCTCATACTCTCGCTACAACGCGCCGGGCACCGTTGTTGCCTCACACTCTCGCTACAACGCACCGGGCACCGTCGTTGCCTCACACCCTCGCTACAACGCGCCGGGCACCATCGTTGCCTCACACTCACGCTACAACGCACTGGGCACCATCGTTACCTCACACTCTCGCTACAACGCACCATCGTTGCCTCACACTCTCGCTACAACGCACCGGGCACCGCCGTTACCTCACACTCACGCTACAACGCACTGGGCACCATCGTTACCTCATACTCTCGCTACAATGCACCATCGTTGCCTCACACTCTCGCTACAACGCACCGGGCACCGCCGTTACCTCACACTCACGCTACAACGCACCGCCGTTGCCTCACACTCTCGCTACAACGCACTGGGCGCCATCGTTACCTCATACTCCCGTTACAACGCACCATCGTTGCTACAACGCACCGGGCACCGCCGTTACCTCACACTCTCGCTACAACGCACCACCTTTGCCTCACACTCTCGCTACAACGCACCACCGTTGCCTCACACTCTCGCTACAACGCCCCGGGCACCGTCGTTACCTCATACTCTCGCTACACCGCACCGGGCACCGTCGTTACCTCATACTCTCGCTACAATGCACCGGGCACTGTCGTTACCTCATACTCTCACAACAACGCACCGGGCACCGTCGTTACCTCACACTCTCGCAACAACGCACCGGGCACCGTCGTTACCTCACACTCTCGCAACAACGCACCGTCGTTGCCTCACACTCTCGCTACAACGCACCGGGCACCGTCGTTACCTCACACTCTCGCTACAACGCACCGGGCACCGTCGTTACCTCACACTCTCGCTACAACGCACCGGGCACCGTCGTTACCTCATACTCTCGCAACAACGCACCGGGCACCGTCGTTACCTCACACTCTCGCTACAACGCACCGGGCACCGTCGTTACCTCACACTCTCGCAACAACGCACCGGGCACCGTCGTTACCTCACACTCTCGCTACAACGCACCGGGCACCGTCGTTACCTC